ATACGTGTGTATACTAGCTGCGCGCGCGCGCGTGTGTGTGTACGTGCGTGCGTGCGTGCGTGCGTGCGTGCTCGCGTGCTCGGCTCCGCTCTGCCTGTAGAGAGGAGACGTACGCATATACGGGGCGCCCCGTGCGCGCGACGAGGGGACGACGGGATTCTCAGCTGGCGCATTCTAGTGGACGGTTCGGGTAGAAAGTGCTGTTGCGCGAAGGCGGCGAGCCTGCCTCTTTGTTTGTGAGTTATCAGCTGGCGCGTCGCTCGCGCCGATAGCCACCCCGGCCCCTCGCTGGGCCCCGCGGCTATTGTTCGCCGCCACGGGCCCCGAGTCGAGAGAGAGAGAGTCCTCTCGCCCCCTCGCCGTCGTCCGTCCGCGAGTCGCGAGAGAAAATCGGTCTCGCTCGCAGCTCTACGTTCGAAACAATTCCCCTTCCCCGCCCCCTGCTTTGTACTTTCGTCGCGTTCGCTCGGGGATGACAGATGGCTTTTCGGTTGCCGCGAGGAGTTCGCGACGGGAAAAACCGATTACTCGGATGTCCACCCGACGCGTCCTCGCGGGGCTCCCCCTCCCTCGCCCCCTCACCTGCCCCGTGGGGGTGGGTGGCAGAATTTATCGGGGACGGGGGACGCCGCGGCGAAGGCGCGTACGCCGGGTTACCGCGAGTGCCGGTCCGGTGACACGCTTGCGTTCGATCGGCTTGGCGCGCGCGACGTCAAGTTCGTCGGTTCTACGGACAGGTCCATGGTGCGACGACTCGGGGGTGGGGGGGGGGGTGAAGGAGCGATCGTCAACGCTCGATGGCTTTGCTGTTGCGTGAACCGGAGGGGGAGGGAAGGAATATCGGGGTCTCTCGCGAGGATTCGCCTGGCTTAACTTAACCTCCAACTTTCGTGTCGCTTTGTTGCCGATCGCCTCGTCGTTAATCGCACGTCTTTGTGTGTGTGTGTCGCGCGCGAACTAATTCTGCCCCTCCTTTCGCCTCCGTTTTTCCCCCCTTTAAGGTTTCACCAAACATCGCTCGAGTCTGATCGCAGTTTAATTCATGCTTGCCTCTTTCCGGCGTAACAGTTGGAAAGAGACAAAGAACGAATTGAGCTGAGCTTAGAGTGGAGCGACGTCGGTGAAACCAGGCCCAAGTCCGGTTAAATCTGTGTACGCCACGTCCCATCTCGTTTTCTGAAATCGCGAGTTCGCGCACGTTCGCCCACGGTGTAGAAGACTGCAAAGGTGAAACGGGCTTTTCTCGTAAAGGGCGTTCTATTTTTGTCATGATATATTCTGCGTTCGGTTCTCGACTCACTTTTCGGGATTGGATACAAGCTCGTCTTAATTAATCTCGTACCGAGGCCTGCGACTTTCGCGTGGTCACACGCTCCTGAAACTTGGACGTTTTCGGGATGTCCACCCATTCTTTCGTGCACGCGAACGCAAAAGTAATTACTGGACTCGCAATTTTTTTTTTAATGAACATTCGTTTCGCACAATTGACCGCCACTCGATTGTCCATCGATTGCTGGTCAATTTATACGGCGAAGCCTCGGAGAAGCGTACGTCTAGTGCCGAAAATGGCGATAAATTTCTGCAGGTCTTGTTTCCCACATTGTCTTTGTAGATCGGTACACACAGAAAAATATTGTACAGTCAAGAAAAGTAATTACTCAGTTTATTTTATTCCGTTTAAGTAATAGTTTGCTTCAACAAAGAATATTTTCATAATAGTTTTAAGATACATCTTGTTACTAGTCTTAGAAAAGCTTGCCATCTTATACTCAAAGAGAGAATTTATTCTTCTTTGAAGAAAATTAGAAAACTTATCGAAGAATTCCGTATGCTTCTTTTAATAAAATCAGAAGAAACAAAATTGTTTTGCTCCAAATAATTCCATGTATTCTTGTTTCAAGTACTAGACTTACTGAGAACCAGAATATGTTTTGAGTAAATATAACACTTGCGACGACATTATGATAGATTTGCGGATATATAATATTTATTTGCAGGTGGTATATATTTTTCTGTGTGTACGCTTGGTGTACATTTTACTAGTAAAATTTCAAAAAACTTGTAAAACTTGGAGATGCCACGTTGCCCCACGCTTACACGATTTTTCGCGTATATTTCAAAAGAAAAAAAAAGATTTCGTTCAAAATAGAATTTCCGAGTTTTGAAATTCTCTCAAGCAAACCTCGTTTTCCAATATTGCCAAGTTATCGCCTTGTTAATGTCGTTTATTCCCTGAAGCCTGATGTGCCGTTTGCACATTCTATTTTGTAGCCAAGAAACACGTTCAAAAAATTCGCGCAAGCGGATAAATTGTACACTGCACAATCGTACATTCGTACAAAATAGAATGTTTCTAGATGCAGAGAGCACATTGTAGATCAAGCCTAATCTACAATGTGCTCTCTGCGTCTAGAAACATTCTACTTTGTAGCCAATAAATACGTCCAACAACTTTGTGCAAGTTGATAAATTGTATATTATACACTGTATAATCGTACACCGTCGACGATTTTTTTAAGCGTTTCGATTTATATAAAATAGAATGTTTCTAGACGCAGAAAGCACGTTGTAGATTAGGCTTTAGGGTTCAAATGTGTACCCCCTATTGCCGAGCAAGACCCCTTGGATACTCGAGCTCGGCGTTAGGGTGTCGTTTGCGTTTTGTTTGTCGCGAGTCCAGTCTTCCCCGAGTGTCGGGCCACGGTCTCCTCGAGGCGTGCGCGCGCGTGACGCCGCACGCACGCACGCACGCGGAGAAACGGGCGTAAATTCGTGCGCGCTTTCTCGCTCCTCCGTGGAATCTACCGCGCAGATCCTTGGCGTTAATCGCCGCCGGAAGCGCAAGCACGACGACAAAGGATTCGGATTCGCCGCCTAACTCGCTCAACAATCTCGTCCCCCGAGAGACGCGCGTAATAAATTTCGCCCCGTCGCTCCTTTCCGCAATATATTTATCCGTCTCTTCCGCGCGCGCCCGCGCGCTCCGTGCGTTTCCGTTTTACTCGCTGTTTATTTTTCTCGCGTTACGCGACCGCGCGTAGGCGTCTTCTCTCTTTCATCCCGCCCTCCCCTCTCGCTCGTTCGCTCGCCGTGCGTTGTTTTGCTCCCGCTCCCCCACCCTCGCGCCCCGTGAGCGCGTGTGTGTGCGTGCGTGCATGCGTGCGTGCGCCGCTCGCGCGATCGGCCTCTCCTCTGCGCTTCGAAGCGCAGTTACCTCACGCGGCACTTTCGTATCGGTGGTACCGCGACGGTCGTGCGTATCGCTGCCGTTTATTTATGTCGGGGATCGTACGCGTAGCAAGTCGGCGCGAGACGCCCGTGCGGACGCGACGCGGCGGGCTGGTGATAATCGGCTTCCCTTGTGATTCACAGTGTATAATCGCGGGTAAATGTGGTGAAACGCAGTGAGAAAGGAGAGCCAGCGGTGAGCAAGAAGAGGGAGAAGAGAGTCCACGGTCGTAGAGCACAGCAGGAGGAATCGGGACGGCCGGACAGTCTCGACCTGAGCGGAGGGCAACGCGCGCGCGAGAGTGAGAGAGAGAGAAACAGAGAAAGGACAACAACGCGGTTCTCCGAAACGTTTAAAAGGACGCCGGCGAGCATTCGAGTGAGAAATCGCGCATTCGGAGGATCGATCGTCCCGGCGGTGATCGGCGGAGAGGGAACGTCGACCGCGACTCCGAAAGCTGAAATTCGCTCCGCGGAGGCGACGACACCATCCGAGGGACGACGACGACGACGACGACGACGACGTGCGACGTGAAGGGGACGACTCCACGACTCGCGATATTCATCGATCGCCGCCGTTGCACCGCGGCGACGGACGCGTAGGAGAGCCGGGTCGTTCGAGGGTCGAAGCAGGAGCGGCGGCGTAGAAGGAGACTCTCCGGCGTTGTCCATCCCGAGTCCTCGGTCGCCGCCGTCGCCGTCGTCGTCGTCGCTGCCGCCGCCGCTGCCGCCACCGCCACCGCCGCCGCCGCCACCGCCGCCACCACCACCGCGGATTGGCGCACGTATCTCTCTCGCTCCTCGGTGTGCGTCGGTGTCGTCATCGCCGTTACCGCTGTCGCGCGCGCGCGCGCGCGTCCGTCCGTCCGTCCGTACGCGCAGTTACGCGCGGCCGAGGGTAGCCGACGTGCGGCGGATTCGCCCGAGGCGCGAGGCGGCGCGGCGTGGCGCGACGCGGCGCGGCGCGGCCGAAGACACCACGATTACGTATCTCGCCGGCTTGCCGCTCTCCCCCCTCCCCGCCGTCGCTCTCGCCTGCGCGCCCGTCGTACGCGCTAGGGGGCGCGCGCGTCGTGTGTGTGTGCGGGTGCGTGTGTGCGCGGGAGTGCGCCGCCGCGCCGCCTCGTCGTCCGTACGTGCGTGCGTGCGTGCGTGCGTGCGTGCGTGCGTGCGTGCGTGTGCCCCCGGCGGCACGTGTGTTGTTGGCGCGGGAGCGCGCGGCGGTAGAAGGGGGAACGAGCGCGAACCGAAGCAGCCAGGATTACTCCAAACCGAGGAAATATGAGCATTGCTGCCCTATTACAAGCCGCCGAGTACATTGAACGAAGGGAAAGAGGTGAGTGCCTGACCCCCTCCCGCGCCCCTCGCACCTTTTCCCCGTCCCGCTCTCCTTAATCGCGCTCGCGTGAGGAGGAGAGCCGCTCGCGACACCGCGCTCTACGGCCGGATTAGAAATAAACATGGACGCGGGAACTCCGGAAAAGCTCCGCGGCGCGGACAACGCGGCCTCGGTTCCCCTCGAATCGTCGAGGGGTAACTCTGGAGCGGTCGCGTCATTGTTGCGTTCCTCGCGGTTCCGCGACTCTCTGCGTAATCCGGCGGAGATCCGGATTACGGGATCGCTCGTATATTTCGTGGTGGATTGCGCGACAATTTTTATTTCCCCGCGATCGCGAGTCGATCGTAGATTTTCCGCGCGACGGACGCGTCGTTCGATCGAGATTCGCGCGAGTATCCGCCGCTCTCGTTGTTCCCGCGACGGATCGCGTCGCGATGATGATCTCATTTTATCATCCCACTTATAATGCCGCTGCGTCGCGCCGTAGAGCGACGTCCTCGCCCGCGTGCAACGCACGTCGTTTACGACGCGAGCGGACGCGCGCGCGCGCGCGAGCTAGCGTCTCTCTCTCTCTTTGTTTCTTCGTGCGTCGTAGCACGCTGGGAGATTTCCAATGGGGAGCCCCGCGTCCGTGCACACGTGGGCTCGCAAGGGGGGGGGCGAGTGCGATTGCAGCGCGGCGGGAAACGACGGACGGCCGGCCAATCGACTCCCCGCTTTCCCGTGAGAGCGAACGATTGATTGGCCGGCGGCCGTTGCTTTTCGTTGCAACGGCGAGAGCGCGTAGGAATGGGAGCCGCGCGAGGACTGCACGCGTGCTCGAGGCCGACATCGGCCGTTTAAATATTCACGCGTGACCGTTGGTCAAACGGCGGCGCCGGTTCTCGGGGCGGACGTGACGATTTCGACATACCCCGTGCGTTCGTGCAAATCGAGTCGCGCGGCGACGATAAATCGAAATTCACGATGTAACGCACGGTGAAAATTATGTCTCTCGAGTAAAGGGTGAATCAGACTAGTGATTGTCGACGCGGACTGGATTGGGATTGATGATTGGCAATTGGCGACTGCCTTCTAGCCAATGAGAGCAAAGCAGCCAGCGATTTACTCGACTCTCATTGGCTAGAGGACAATCGCCAATCCAATTCAATCCGAGTTGTCCATTGCTAGTCTGATTCGGTCTTTAAGGCCGAATTAGACTAGCAATTGCCGACTCGGATCAGATTGGAATTCTTCAATTGTCTTCTAGCCAATGAGAGCAAAGCAGCCAACGATTTAATCGACTCTCATTGGCTAGAGGACAATCGTCAATCGCCAATCCAATTCAATCCGAGTTGGCCATTGCTAGTCCGAATCGGCCTTTAAAGCCCGTATCAGACTACGGATTGAGATTGAGATTAGATTGAAATTTCACGAATCACAGTAAAGTTTACTAATTTCAGGTTTAGTAACTTTTACTCTAATTGGTCAAATTTCAATCTAATCTCAATCTCAATCCGTAGTCTGATACGGGCTTTAGCTCGAATCAGACTAGCAGTTGCCGACTCGGATCAGATTGGAATTGGCGATTGTCTTCTAGCCAATGGGAGCAAGGCAGTCAGCGATTTAATCGACTCTCATTGGCTAGAGGACAATCTCCAATCCAATCCGAGTCGGCAATTGCTAGTCTGGGGCTCGATTCTTGAATTTATTCGAAGGAGAAACGTATGCGAAAATTCTGCTCTTACAGAAAAGTTAAAAGTCGATTGGTTAAAGCCGTGCGAATAGCCAATCGACTTTCAACTTTTCTGTCAGAGCAGAATTTTCGTATACGCTTCTTCTTCGAATGAATTCAAGAATCGGGGCCCTGATTCGGCCGTAACGGTCGTACGGGAAGCGGCGCGCGCGTCAGGGGGACGCCGCGGACACGCGTGCAAATTCTGGCACGCTCGCGGAGCCTCGATTGTACGAAACGAAGATAAACGTCGCTCGATAATTAAGTGTTATCGCGCGTCGCGTTAAAACGCGGCACGGGAACGTGCGCGTCTAATTTTTCGCGGTTTTTCGAGTCACCGTAAATTTTGGTGAACGCAGAGAGAGAGAGAGAGAGAGAGAGAGAGAGAGAGGGGAGGGGGTTGTTGTAATTAGCTCGTGGCCGTGAAACCGCACGTGACGTCACGGTCCGCCTATTTTGCGACGAGTGCGATTACTGGCAAAATTTTCGTCGAGAGACGGGTCGTTTCCTCCGCATATACATATACATATACGTGCGGTTTTCATTAAAGTCCAAGTTTCGGTGAGTGAATGAAAGTAAATCTCGAGAAAGTACACGTCGACGATCTGGAGGTTCGTCTCAATTTAATCGCGGCATCTTCATCTATGGAGATGTATTCGAGCGCCTCTATTTTTGTCCGATTTCGAGCGTCTATCAGTTTTAATTTAACCCCGGTCTCTATTTATACAAATATATTCCGATGCGTCTATTTCGATTCGCCGCGATGCCACTTGCTTATCTCGATTTAATTTGACGTCTATTTTTAGCAGCGTAAACGTTATAGTTACATTTCTAATGTTACGCTCGATAAGAAGCGGACGGACGGCGGGCTAATTTAACGCGGTGGCGCGCGCACTTATTGAATTCGCGCGTCTCGCGGCTCGTTCGCTCGGGAAATCGCTGAAACGAGGCGCGACCGCGCCTCAAATCAAACGTGACGATCTCCCGAAGCGGTGTAAAATGCGAAACCATCTGAGAAAATGAAACCCGATTTACCGTCCAGATGCATCTGTCGTCGCTCGTTCACTAACGAACCTAACAAGCGTCGAAAATTCTCTTGTACGAGCATCCTCTTCGCGTGTCTAAATATCTGTACAGTCTTCGAATGCAAAAGTATCGTTCGAGGTATGGTTGCGCGTTAAGGCTGAATCAGACTAGCAATAGCCGACTCGGATTGGGTTGGAATTAGCGATTGACGATTGTCCTTTAGCCAATGAGAGTCGATTAAATCGCTGGCTGCTTTGCTCCCATTGGCTAGAAGACAATCGCCAACCCCAATCCAATCCGCGTCGACAATTGCTAGTCTGATTCGGCCTTTAGGCTGGATTCACACCTAGGCAGAAAAGCAGAAGCCAATCAGAGCTCGCGCTGGTAGTAAACGGCACACTCTGCTGGCAGAAAGTAGAAACTGTCGACTACCAGCAACAGTTCTGATTAGATTTTGGCTGTTCTGCTTTTCTGCCAAAGTGTAATCTAGCCTTACACGGGGACTCGCAGAGAACGGAGATACATAATTGAGGAAAAGCGCCTTCCAATTCGGAGACGAATGATCCTGGGACTCTCATTTTGTGTTTATACATAATTAAATGTTTATTGGCACTCGGTTCGTGCGCGCGAAATTCAGACGAGCTTTAGGACGCTGTTCATAATAATTGTGTTACATATAAATATGCAATTACGTTCCACTTATCGATTTGTTACGTTCTGATTACAGAAGCTGAACATGGCTATGCTTCAACGATGCCAATACCCGACGATATGCGGACGATTACAAAGAGGCCAAAGACGAAGAAGTCCCAAGGCAGCAGGTACGTGTATGCTAAAATATCTTTCGAGGGACGACGGCACGCGGAAATTTGCATAGATCTTTTAAAAGTTAAGAGACGTCTCTTCAACTCCACATTCCGGATGTTAATATTGGGCTAATATTTACGTCGCGTTAACATCTTTTCATAAGCGTGCAATGTATAGGACTGCCAGCGGTTTCTATAACAGTTCCATGTTTGACTTTGAAGTCGCAGAGTGAGTGAGTGAGAGAAGGGGGGAGAGAGAGAGAGAGAGAGCACACGGAATATTCTACGAATTTCTCAATTTTTTGCATTTACTGCAATTTGAAATATTGTAAATAATTCAGCAAAAGTTCAATAGTAGCATCATATTACTTCGATGCGATGTATTCGATTATAAAGAGACATTTATTTCATAAAAGCGTTCCGTAAAATTGTAGCTTTCGGAATTCGGTCCTTTTCGCTTACGTTTTCAATACAAAACATCGTCATTTGGCAGTTTAATCGCTCCCCGTTTTAGAATCAAACGCGACTGTTACTGCTACCATTGTGAGTTTCCATTGTAATTATCTGTAGTTAAACTTTTTGCGATATTTTTGCTACAACGCGTTACATCTTCTTGTTTTTTCCCCCTTCAATTTTACCTTGCATTTTTATATCGTCTGGGAGGAGAGATATTAACGTAGCCCGATATGCGTTTCTATTGCAAATCTTGTTCTTGCAAGATATAATTATTTTCGTTTTTTCTGTTTCCAGGACGACTCATAATGAGTTGGAGAAAAATAGGTGAGTGTTTCATAAATAAACTTTAATACAATTTTTTATTGTTAGTCCTGTTTAAGCGTTATCGGTTAATAACAAGTGAGATAACAAAGTCATAAATTAATAATTATAATTTACAATTATACAAAATTGTGTAAGTAAAAAAAGTTGCATTTTGATTAGTAATTCGATAAATTGTTTAGTTCGTACCAATGGTAAATATATACTTGTAGACATTTTCTTTTTTTGGGTACTAAATATTCAGCAGAAACAAGCGATATCGCGGACAAGGATTCGTACGATTTGCAGGATGAATTCGCTTTCGCGCGAGAAGTGAATTAATGAATTAAATTTATGAAAATAGCGCGCTACGCGTAGACAAGATTAGCATTGGAATTTATCGGGCAGGTAAATCCGAGCGAGATTAAAATCTGTCGGAAATTAATTGGTATGAATACGTAAAGCGTCGAGTAGTAACCTCTCGAAATTAATTCTTTCGAGGGTAAAAAAATTAATGTATCAACGACGACCGATACATCTTGCGTGGGCGAGACAGAAACGCGGGACACTTTTAACAGAGCGATCTTACGGTTCGAAGAACCGAAAGTAACGAAAAAAAAGGGGGGGGGGAATATCTTTTGGGGGTACGCGTTATTGCGTTATGTAACGCAAATACGGGATGTAGCAGGGAGTGCAGCGGGTTTTTACATTGGCCGTTTCTGTGTCACGCCAGCCCTTGTGTAACTTTCTCTCCCCCTCCGATCCCTCTCCCCATCGCGAGCACTATTCGCACATAGGCTGCTTGGGTGTAAAAAAAAATCGATAGTCCGCCTGCGACCATCTCGCTTTCTCTCTTATTCTCTAGAGCACCCCTACTGCCCCCTCTTCCTCCCTTCACGCACCGCTGACTAGTGAGTTTTAACCCCCTCCCTCCCTCTTTTTCTCGAAATGCCTGTAGCCAACGCCAACGTTTTTCCGAAAGTTTTCGAAATTCCCTCGCGTGTAAGTGAACGGGTGCTAAAAATACATATACACGGTCGTAACCGTTGTACGAGAAATATACAGGGTGTCAGTGAATGTTTGGGACTTATTTTTTGTAGATAGAGCGGATCAAACTGATTGTGAGTTGAAAAATCGTCTACCATTTTGCATATTTTGCAATAGTTAACGAGTTACGAATTATAAAAAAAAATCGTCCAGTATAAGCGCGTGGCGAGATGTGGCCGGCCCGCGATTGACGTTGCTAGGCGCGCGGGGAGTTGTTTATTATACGTAGCTGCTTTTTGGATAAAGCCCATGCCAGTGGTAAAAACCGGTATTTTCCGGAAAAAACCGGCAAAAACTGGGTCTTCTCTATTAAAAACGATGAGATAAGTAGAAAACTTTTAGAAAGCACTGCAAGAAAGTATTGTTTCCCACATAAACTAAAAATTTTTATAAAGTTTAGTATCTCCGAAGTTCTCGTTTTGAAAATATGTATTAATTTCAATAAAGCAATTTTTTTTAAATTACAAAACTTATAATATATTGGTTTCTTTTTTAAATAGTGATTAATATCTATTATTTAGTATTTAAAAGAACCATCTTTTCTCATAAAGACTATAAAAATGACTAATATTTATATAAATATATTTTAATTAGGTATCAGTTATTTTTATAACTTTTGCCAATTTATTCCATTGTATAAAGTCCGGGACGGCAAGAATTGGAATTTACCATGGTTTTTTCTACCCCCTGGATTTTTCCAGCCAACCCTGAGCTGCTGCAGTTTTTAATAAACTCTCGCGCGCCTAGCAACGTTTCAGCGCGGGTCGGCCGCATCTCGCCGCGCGCTTGTGCTGGGAAGCAGGCTGGTCTAAGACGGCGATTTTTTAATAATTAATAAGGTAGCAAAGAAATTGAAAATAAATTTTCTCATTGGACCATCGGCTACGTTCCGGCATCCGACAGCGACGTACGACGTATTGTAGAACAGGCCTGACTCGTTAACTATTGCAAAAATTGCAAATGGTAGAGGACTTTTCGACTCAGTTTCGTCCGCTCTATCCATACAAAAAATAAGTTCCAAACATTCACCGACACCCTGTATAAAATACAAAGAGTCTGTCTCTTCTTTGATATATCCTGTAAAAATTGGCGAACTTCGTTGCCAATCGATCGTTGGATTAATTTCAATTCGTCGTTTTATTCGCCTGATTACGTGTTGCTTATCACATAAAGTGAAAAGGTACAGTGTTTTGAGGAAATCGACAGCTCTTTGAGACTTGACGATATCACATATTTTTAAATATGTCTTTAAATGTGCGTATACAACTTAGCATATCAATGCATTTGATTAATAACGCATTAAGTGTATGCTTTTTTATGAAAAAAAGTCATATGAATTTATAAAACTCGAAGGGGCCTCAAAGCACCTATACTAACCGCTCCTTCGTGCAGGAGCCACCTTAAGATAATGACTCTTTCTAAATATAAAATTTATATCTCCAACTGTAACGTCGTGTTCTATCTTAAAAAGGTAGAGTAACGTCGTACGAATTTTCCAATTTCCTACATTGTCACGAGTTCACCGTGGCGTGTAGGAACATGAGAAAAAATTTAGACATTATTTTATAAGAGACTCGTGAAAATTACTTTACATGCAAAATACTCGATTGCCAGGAGACGTTTATTTTCTCACGTATGAAACTCTTTACAATTATTTAATACCTAAAAATACACAGGAGTTCTCTCTTAAAATTTATCCCGAAAATCATATAATTGTGGAATAACGCAGCATTTTGGAGAATTTTATGCGAGTTTTTTGACATTTTTTCATTTTACTATTAATAAAATTTAACGTAAAATGTCAAAAAACTCATAAAATTCTTCGAAATGCGTTTGTTCCGCGATTTTGCATCGCATGATTTTCAGGGTAAATTGTAAGAAAACATTCTTCCCGTGTATCCAAAAACTAGGAAAGGGTATGGTATTTTCAATTAATATCCCTTTTTTTTTCAAGATCGCAAATTTAGAATTGTATTTTATTAATCTCGGCGATTGGAAGGCAAAATTAAATTTCGTCGGCCGGGGCTGTTTACGCGCCTGTATCAATGGCGGTTGGTGCAAGCGCTGCGTAAGTATGCAGCGCGTGTGACAAGCATACTTATACGTGGCATACAAAACGCGGAAGCCGATGGCATACTGTCCTAAATTTGGCGCGCGTCGCGCGGCGGAAATAAATCCATGGCGGCCCAAATCGCATTAAAGACCACTATTAAGATTGTGTTACGATCGATGATCGACGGTCTCTCGGTCGCAATAGCGATCCGCGATCCAGTTTCTCGTGGCGTTCCGCCTCTTTCCTTTGACTCACGTGCACGACGATTCGGTCGATTCGAATTTGTTTATAAAAATGTTACAGCAAAAAAATATTGTCCCAACTGCCAAACCGGCTAATTAACTGTCAGACGCAATTATAATCATTTTTTTCTTGATACTGTAAACGAATGTAAATAAGTTGAAACTTTGTCAGTCCGAGATAACGTTCTTTTGCTGTGTATTTACCACAATTGTTATCTTTTGTTTACCATCGTGTGTGATTAAGAGGCCATTGACCGATTTTGTGTAATCGAACATGCGAAAAATAGAATGTAAAAGTACACGCGTCATATTTGGACGCCTTACATTTGAAGATTCGTATAAATTATTTTAAATTAATAAAAAGTCGAGGATTGGAAAAGTTGCCATAAAGAATCGAAAAGACGAGGGATCGAATTAATATAAAGATATTAATGTAAAGATAAATATAAATTGAACGTTCAAGAAGGTTGAAGTAACTTGGGCTTGAAATCAATTTAATTACAAAGATTAGCGTCTTATTGCGCCGCGTATTATCTGTTATCAATCCGAAGAAAAGTGATAAGCGATCGTTCTGTTGTGTGTTATTTTGTCCGAGCCATATAGAATGGCGGGGCTTCCCCGGACGCGCGTACGGAAAGGACATCGGGTCAGCCGGAAAACGAAAGCTCGACAAATGGCTGCGCCAACGCGAGTGAAAATGGCGCCGCTCGTGGCGCCTGAGGACGGATCCCTGGCCCATTTGAAATGCATTGAATTTTTAAGTGCCACCCTTTATGCCGCCGCTGCCGCCGCGAGATAGCCAACTTCCGGTTCGGCTCCCCGCTAGTCCTCCCAAAGCTTTTCATAATTTCGATCTGAACCTTTCCCGACTGGTTATAGCTTAACCCTTTTATGATCTCGGTGCGGATTAAGAGGACGCGCGAAAGGAAGAATTTCGCACATTTCTCTGTTTCTTAATTAATTCGTTGCATTTGATGGCAATACAAATTTGTGAACACGTATTTATTTAATTATGCATTCGTTAGTATATGAATAAAAATGCGACGAAATGTTGTAAAATTAGTAGTAAAATCGTGGACGTAGGTGGAATGTGCATTTGTTGGTTAATAACGTAATTATTAGTAAATGGCGTAAAATATGAAATTACGTACTGTTGAACCAGTGAAGATTAAAAGCCAATCCATTAAGATTATTAAAACAATGGTTTTTACCAGGTTTGGAATGAGTTCTCGTTTTTAAAAGATCACGCGTCCTTCGGACGTTACGATATACGTTAAAATTGAATATCTTAATTAAGAAATGGAAAGTTATGGAACCGTCGTTATCGTGAATTATCAACCTGGAGATACGATACTTAAAATAAATTATTTTTCAAGCGAAACTCGGAGGTGGGGGGGAGAAGAGATGAGAGGACGTTAAATAAAGACCTCGGCGCGCAAATAGGCGGGTCGATTGTTTAAAGAAATCCTATCGTATCGGATGCCTCTCAAGTTATTGCAGGGCAAAGGTTCAAGTCGATAAACGTTGGCATTATTTACGCGCGGTATGTTCAAAGAGCTACAAAATTTAAACATAGTTAACATGTGCGGGCTTATTGATTGCTCACCCTTGGAACCGCCGTGCCGCGAATAGCCCCGACGTCCTCTCCCGTCTTTTGGGGTAGAAATTTCGTTCGGTAATCG